GGACAGGTTTATTTTCGTAGCTTGAAAAAACTAGAGGAAGAGACAGGGCGGACCTTAAAACGCAGTTATCAGAAAAGGTCCGCCCTCTGTATTTCAGATATTTTTATGTCATAAAGGGAAATTTTTGGACAGGGTTTATTTTCGTAGCTTGAAAACTAGAGAAAGAGACAGGGCGGACCTTAAAACGCAGTTATCAGAAAAGGTCCGCCTTCTGTATTTCAGATATTTTTATGTTATAAAGGGAAATTTTTGGACAGGGTTTATTTTCGGAGCTTGAAAACTAGAGATTAGAACTTTTTAGTGTGCAGTGTTTAGAACTTCCTTAATTAATATTTGATGTACCAGTCTAATCGTGTTCAAATTTCCTACTTAATTTTACACAAGTTTTATAAATGTATTATATGTCTTCTGCCATTCACACAAGTTTGTACAAAGTTAGGCTCATAGTAAACAAAAACTTTGAAATGAATGACCGTTCTCGATTTACTATTAATAGAAAATCACAAATGTCGGCTGACCCCTACCACATTGTATGGTTTTGTTCTTTATATACTAGTATTCGTGAATTTCAGCGTAAAAAATTCTTGAAGCGTATGGTTTAGATATCAATTAATGATTGATCAATGAATGATTTGAGATGAAAAATTTGCTAACTTTGTTTATTTTTTCACATTTTACCAGGGCCCATAAGTGCATTCGTTCTTTTCTGAGATTATGTCTTTAAACTCAGCTTTTAATATGTACAATATCGGTATACTTTAAAACTTTAAACTTTTTTGACAGGTATCTGCGTGATTTTACTACACTCCAATACACCCCCCCCCCCCCCCCCCCAAAAAAAAACATTTAGAAGGAGGGTATAAAATATTTGGATTTTTATTGAAACCGAGAGACATAAGTATAAATAACATATCATAAATGTAGTGAACAGAGATTTTATATGAGCGACATATATATTAAATATGAAAAATAAAGGCATTTATAAATCCAGCAATTTATCGACTTAATTTGGTTTGATTTCGCCAGTTAATGCACATTTACCTTGTCCTGGAGTAATATTTAGTAGGCCGCATTTCATTTCCGGAATTTTCTGAACTTTTCATTTCCGACATTTTTTAAGTTTTTACATTTTAAAAGTTTTCATCTCCGACATTTGTCAAATTCATGTCAGTACTTTTTCGTCAATGAAAAAAGAATTCATACATCCGTTATAAAAAGCCTTAAGGTAAAATATTTTAGATAATTTATTCAAATAAAAGACTTTGCTCTTAGCTGTCAAAGAAACTTAATTGATTTTAACCTGGAACAGATGTAGGTACATGTATTGTGAATGTGAAGTTACTTATTGACTAGTCTTAATATTTACTTATTGACTAGTCTTAATATTGTTTACAGAGTGTATGTAATGATTAGAAAAACGTGATTTGAAAAAAGTAATATTATACAATGCATGTATAAAATACCCTGTTAAAATTCTATTTCCATCTTTGTAATATATATATTAAACTTAAATTGCCATAAAGGTATCCTAAAACAATCCGAAAATGTGAAAAAAAAATAAATAATGTCGGAAATGAAAATAAAAATGTCGGATTCCGAAATCATAACAAAAATTGTCGGAAAATGCAATGTTTAATTCAGGAAATGAAATGCAGAGTTCTAGTAGATATAATAATTAGCCTTTGAATAAGTAAGAAACAGTGTTAACTTATAAAAACACAGGGGATATGGTACTTTAGGTTTTCTCAAACGAAACGATTATAGGCTAACCTCCAACTGCCCAATCCGTAGGAATGTTGTTTTTACAATTAGGGGTGTAGGGTAGTACACCGTGACATAAGCCCCTGTCACAGCTAGTGACCCTCCAGTTATTTACAACAATATTACACGTAAAGAATGACAGATTTTTTTTATTAATACTATATAAAGAAATATATTTTGAAAGATGTGAACTTTAGTTTTTGTGAGTGGATTAGTCAAACGTTTATCATGTTTATAGGAAAGAGAGTGTAACTAAATGATTAGTGTTGGACTTACGAACATTTATCTGTTCATTCAATACTGATTAATCTGCCAGTAAAGTTACAAGGCGGTGAAGGTAAATGTATGTACATTTGTTTTCTTAATATTTTTTTTAATGATAATGTAGACATTAGTGTGTTAATTTAAACGACAAAAGAAGCATGTCCCATCTTCCCGACAGGAAACCCGATCAATAAATCTATACATTCCTTTATTTATGTATTAATTTCGATTTCTTACTTATTGTTTACCACATTTTCTTGGAGAAAACACTTGCTGTTAATACGACTATATATCCTTAATTAATTTAAAAGAATAGTTTTTCAATTAATATCGAATGAACCACATGCATACAATTCATATAAAAGGCCGAGGGCGGACCTTTTCTTATAGAGCCAGGCGGACCAAATATGTTATCGTATTAAGTCCGGCCGGACCTTCAAACGAGGCGGACCAAATATTATGCGACACCGGTCAGCAGGGGATGCTCACTTATCAATGGCACCTGATCCTACCTCTGATGTTTTGGAGGTTCGTGATTTCTCTGCTCCTATAGCTATTTGTATTGTTTTATGGAATTTTGATCTTGAACAATGTTCGTTATATCAATATATTTCATTTAGAAAAGGTCTGGTCACATGTAATGTGAACTATTAAATCCCTGTCTTTTCTCATTTTTAAGTTATGATCAAGGTTAAATTTTGTATGACAGACGGAGAGACTGAAGTGGAAAACTATCACGGTGTGATTTTTGATAAAAACGATTTTAGTGACATTTTAGCTGACTTTGAAATATACTCTTAATTTACTGTAATTATTTCAAACAATTAACTTGATAAACTTTAATTATGCTAATTACTATGTAACTCCGAATCAGGAAATTAATTATTTAATATATTTACTCAACATGTCATGAGTTACTCCATCTAGGCCATCTGTCACTCATGCTCAGAATTTTGCTAATTGCCATTGTCATATTTCATTATTTATATGTTACATGTATCATTGTTAATCAGTTAACTCCTAGGCTTCGGATTGTTCGGGTGCAATTTTTGGATTTCCAGAATTCACCCTACCGACCTAAGTTTATAATAAAGTGCTATTCCATCGTTAGCATTTTTATGTTTTATTTTTGCCGGAAAGTTTGACACTTATTTCCCCGGTGATAATTTGGTGGAGAATCCGGGTATAACACCCGGGACTGCTGCATATATTTTGTAGCAGTTTGATCCCGAGTACCATCAACTAAGCGAGTTCCCCCAAGACGACCTATCTTTAACAACACCGTGCCAACCTGGAGAAAGGGACTTTACCGCTCCTCCCCAACATCTAACCAGCGCCATGTCTTTCGCGTCCTTGGATCACACCAGGACCAGCACGAATTTTCTCGACACCAGGATCCATTCCAAGGTGCTATAGGTGCGGGAAACTCTTCATCCACGGCCACCTTTTCACGTATCCAGCTACACGTTTCGAGTGTTTCGTGCGCGGAAAACATGGTCAATATGCGCAAGTATGTTTCTTTTCTGCAACCACACGTTACTGTTCCTCCCAAAGGAAATCATTTCCAGTGGCGTCCATCGATCACTCAATGATCAAAAGGGGTCAAGCCAAGGGGTCAGGACGGGCCTGCTTGAAGACAAACCAGGTAAACTCGTCTGTAGGATCGTCTGACAACAAGTCAGCAATATACGATTCTACTGCAGGTGTGTGTTTTTCTCGGACTGCTACCAAATCTAGTTCGATGAGTGTTGCTGTTGTGGAGATGCAAAGGAAGAGCATACTTTGTCCGCAGACTAAGTCCGTAAGCAAACGGCGCAGGGATTCGAGAAGAATAAAGGAATAATATTTTGATCGACTGCAGAACGAAGAACAATCAACTGAACCAAACGTGTTACCAAACAACATCAGTTCCTATACCGCTTTCTACGCCAACCATTTTTTTTTACTGAAACCAACAACATAGTGCTCCGCATTTCAGTTCCCGGTGATTCCTGAGACGAGGACGTCTCATTTTCCGAAGCGAGAGGGAATTATCACGGTGTGATTTTTGATAAAAACGATTTTAGTGACATTTTAGCTGACTTTGAAATATACTCTTAATTTACTGTAATTATTTCAAACAATTAACTTGATAAACTTTAATTATGCTAATTACTATGTAACTCCGAATCAGGAAATTAATTATTTAATATATTTACTCAACATGTCATGAGTTATTCCATCTAGGGCATTTGTCACTCATTCTTAGAATTGTGCTAATTGCCATTGTTACATTTCATTATTTATATGTTACATGTATCATTGTTAATCAGTTAACTCCTAGGCTTCAGATTGTTCGGGTGCAATTTTTGTTTATAATAAAGTGCTATTCCATCGTTAGCATTTTTATGTTTTATTGTTGCCGGAAAGTTTGACACTTATTTCCCCGGTGATAAAACTTTCGAGAGGGAGGACAGCAACAACAACACAAAAAAAAAGATTTAGTGGTTTTTATTGGCGAATTCAAAGAAATGCAAGCAGAAAAAATTGTTTGAAAATTTATAGTGTATTGCTGTGGGTGAAAAGTGTTCACGCAGGCATAACAAACTAAGAACGTTGTATTAACGTAATACATGTACCACGTCTTAAGAAAAATCATATTCTGATCTTAAAATTCTCTGTGCCAATTAAAATCAAAATTTATCTCTTTTAAGAATTATGAGCATAAAAATTGTTTTGTTATGTGTTTGCCAATGTGCATTTACTATAATTTCTTTCGATATCTACTATATGTTCATTATAATTAGCGTATTTGAGATGCATTACAAATTAATAATAAAAGCAAACTTATTTCAAGAAAATATAGCGCCTTTTCCAGCATTTAGACGCATAAAAAATGTAAAAAAAAAAAAATGTAAATTGAAAGTGTTAATTTATTTGAAAAAGAAATACTAGCAAAATTATATTCGACAGATTTTACTAGATGATGATCATACCTTTGTCCATGGCTCTTTTTTTTCGATCACCATTTTTTGTTCACTGCACACGTGATAAACGGTATCATGATGTTCTAACGGTTTCAAGAACCTGTAGGAAATCGTTCCACAAGTCCGATAGACAAACAGAGAGTCTTCTACCTTTACGGCAATACCACATCCGCATGGCCCTTGTCCTCTCCAGCCGTTCCAGAAACAAGAGGAAAACAAGGCGTGAACCTTAAATCATGTTTAAAAAAAAAGACTAAGACAAATGGATAGTAATTTGAAAATTGTTTCATTATTTCGGTATTTTTGATAAGCATAACACAAGTGCAATAAGCGTGTAATGAAAAACGGTCTGGTCTGAAAACTGTTTTACATTAAAAAATTATGAAATAAAGTAAACATAAACGTACCGAAATGTTCCTGCTATTGTCCCTGTACATAACGAATTCTCCACACGACTGTGCTGTCCAATTATCTTCCCCATCAAATGTTTTCATTCTAGGATCAGTGTTGGCGTGACATTGCTTGTTAACCACACTTAAATCCGCATCAATAATGAAGATCTGTGTAAAATATTATTGATATGAGGCCATCTTTAAAAAAATGTTTGGTTGCACTCTCCCGACCGACAGAATAAAAATTGCCCGACTCAAAAGTTTTATTTACATTGTACATTCCAGGGGTTAATATTTATTATTCTCTTATCCCGTCTACAAATTTTTTTAAAACAAATTAATAATAAAATACAAAAGATTTTCACACCTATACCTACCGACCCAAAAATTAAAAATTGTACAGTGAGTCGGGATAGGGTAAGCAAACGTTAATTTAAAGTTGACCTGATTGACATACAAAAAGAAAACAAATGTGACAATAAAGATATCATATACATTGGCCTTGTATATATTTTACAAAATACTTCAAAGTCCGTTTTCTTTATGCACCAATGAAATATAAATGATATGTTTTTTGCGGCAGTCTTTCAATTTCATATGTTACTTCTGCTGTTAGGTTCAATTTTGAGGTTTTGAAATGATATTTGATAGACTTAAAGAGGAATGCTACATCAAAAGTTTATTTTACAGATCTTTTAGATTTCTCTTTTACAGTATGGTTTCAACATTTATTAGAAAATAAAATTAGATATTTATTAAAAGCAAATATTTAACTCTGAATTATCTTAATTGCAAATAAAACATTTTTTTCTATGAAAAAATACAAAAAAAAATCTATGAAATAAAATTTTGGTATGGTATTTCTCCTTAAGATCGAAGATAAGAGGTCCGCCAGATAGACCCATGGCTTCTCCCTATTTGTGCCTCATTCACTATATAAACTATGTTCGCTCCTTAGTTTTTCAGCAGATTTTTGTCTTGACCTCTATTTAAGAAATTCTGCAGAATGTTTAAGTTCTTACAATAAATTTGTATTCTATAATGCTAATTAAACTATATTCAATTAAATCCCTAAAATAAAATTTCATATCGAAAACATTTAGTGGTGTACTATATTTTGTGGCGGAAGTTTTTTAGACGAAAAAGATAAATTTTTCCTCTTATGAAGTATTCGGTATTGTCGTACGAAATATCTGACGCTTTCCTGCTTTTTTATACACTTTTGATATTTTACATGATAGGAAAACATCAGATCCGGCCAAGTGACGAAAGCTGGAAACTTCGCCATCTCCAACCAGAGTTGATTTTTGATACTTGCGAATCGAACTAAATGTAAAAATTGGAATTTATCAATGGCACAATGCTTCTAGTACTCACCAATTTCGACGAAAAGATAATATCACTCCACACTTCGATACAGGACTTCCAAGATTTTAAAATGCACGAAATGGAAACAAATCTCACCAGTCTGATGAAATGTTTTCATTGGATTGTTTTTATAGGGATGGCAACTTGTAACCTGTTAATCGATTAATCGGTCGGAACGATGCTAATCGGTTAGAAAATCCGTAATCGGTTAGTCGGGAAAAAAGAATATATGTAAATTTGAGCACAGTTTCCTCCCCCCTTTTTTTTTAGAAAGGAAAGCGCTGCAAAGATTTTTTATTTAGTGTTTTAACACATCGTATAATTAAGAATATTTGGAGGTAATTATAGCTCTCCAGATTGAGTTCGCAAGGTAATTGTAAGTTCATAAAGTGTTAATTACTGTTTTTAAAACATCACGCCGTTACCCAGATAGTCCAGTGTTTTTTTTAATGATATTAAAAACATCACCGTTAAGCATTTTTTATAACAGTGTATGGTATGTCTATATTCTCTTGTTATCTATCAAGTTATATAATTACATGTATAAAAAACGTCGTAAATTTAAATAAAGTGAGAGTTCAGACATCGACTAGTTCTGATTATGGTGACAATACAGAATTAACTTCTTTAACATCTGCGTTGGTAAATTATCCCTGTCTGATTTCTTACGCAAGATTCATGGTTTTCTTAATTTTTTCATGTCTGTTGAAATTGAAATAAAATGTACTCTTATGTACATAAAATTCTACGATCAAAATGATAAACACAATGTAACTTCTAATGTCATTTTAGCCTTTTTTGTGTATATGAAAAGAAAATGTCAAAATGCATATCTTGATGCGACTAACCGCTTAATCGGTCGGAACGTTTTGCGATTAACCGATTAACAATTCTGCAATCAATTGCCATCTCTATATATTTCATAAATGAATCATAAAAAACAATATTGGTAAGTACTTAAAGTATTGCACTATTGATAACTTGTCTGTTTGAGATTTAATTCATCTCGCAAGTATCAAATATTAATCCGAGAATGCCGCCTCCGGTTTTCCAGCTTTCGTAATGGCGCCGGTTCTGACGTTTTCCTGGCACCTAAAATATCAACATCGTGGGTGCGTATCACTACCGCTACATTTTCAAAATTTTCATTACCGCTACATTGTCATTACCGCTACAAAAAAAACCTTACATTACCGCTACATAAAAAAGTATACATTACCGCTACATTGCCTCTTTCGTTCACCAGCCACTTATTAGTGTACAGTACAACCTATACATGCATAAGGCCCATTTCCCCTGCTCACCAAGGGAAGATGAAAGTAGGACTTTGAACAGAATGTATCAGTACTATCAGTATTGTTAAGTATGAATTACTAGTTTTACTTTTAGTCTGCACACATAGTAATTTTGTCTATGCTGCTCATAAATTTTATCATATAAATATAGCCCTCGTGCGAGGTCGATGTGCTTTTCTATGAAGTCGATATATCTATGGATCGACCTCGTCAAAGGGCCACATTTGTTATATTATGTTGTTTTACAGAGATTGACAAAAGCATCACCAAGTTTTCCCTCTTATCATTTTTAAACACAGAGAGACTAGAGATCTAAATAAATTAATCTGTTTATGTGTATTTTTTGTGCTGATAGATAATACGGAAGCGTAAATGGCTCTACACTTGTTGTGTTATAACTTTGTATATTGTCTTATATTTTATCGACTTATCAACATATAAAGTGTTATGCCTCCTTATTTATGTACATATTTTAAATTGTTTTAAGATTTCTTAACATAATAGAAGGCAACTTCTTTTGTTCAATAGATTTTTTTGCTTTAAGTTTTATCGACTGAAACAATATATTGATTTTCAGATATTGATTAAAACAAGATATTTATTCATATCGATATGATATTGTTGATATGATAAAATAAAGATACAGTTACTAGTATATCAATTTAAATTTATGAATTTTTGCGATAAAGAAGTCAGAATAAATTGTTTTTTTTAAATTATTTTGGCGGGGGCGGGAACTCCAATGAACCTTCACTTCACTCGGGATTCAGTGAAAGCTTATGTATCATGTCAGCATGTACGATTAAAGGCTGAATCAAATTAAAAAGTATATTAAACAAGAGGCCCATGGGCCTTATAGGTCACCTGAGCATCATGCAACAACTTTCAATGATTGAATTTGGTTCATGTTTTAAGCTAGATGCTATGGCATTCACAATTTTGAAAGAGGCACCATTGCTAATCATAATTATACACTTACAATTGTTTAGTTTGTTTACTTAATATGGATAAGCAGGGTAGGGGAACAAAAAAGTATGTCAACTAATCAGTAATATTCAGCAATAATCATAAGTGCTCCTACCACACATGAACCCCTGACCCTAGGTCTACACATTGCATAATTTTTGAAAAGGCACACTTGCTTATCAAAAATGTTTGATTAATACCAAGGAGCAGATTTCAAACAATTCATTTTCAGTATATAAGTAGACCCCCCCCCCCCATTTTGGTATCTCTGACCCAGGGGCCTTGGAATTCACAATTCTGGAAGAAGAGCCCATCCCATCATAACTATGTAAATAGTTCATTCTGCTTATTACCCAGGAGTAGAGAAAAAGATTTTCATAGATGTAATGTATTTTCACCATATAATCATTATACAGCCACATCCTAACACCATAACCCCTAACCCTGGGGCCATAAAATTCATAAATTTGGTAGAAGCATTCTTGCTCATCATAACTATGTCCTTAATTAGAAAATTTAATACCCAGAAGCAGAGAAGAAGATTTTCAAAGATTTAATAAATTTTCACTATATAATCAATAGAGCCCCGCCCTAACACCAGAACCCCGGACCCTGGGGCCATTAATTACACAATTTTGGTAGAGGCACTCTTGCTCATCATAACTATGTACTTAGTTAGTTTATTAAATACTCAGGAACAGAGAAGAAGATTTTAAAAGATTTATTGCATTTTCTCTATATAATCAATAGAGCCCCGCCCTAACACCAGAACCCCTGACCCTGGGGCCATAAATTTCACAATTTTGGTAGAGGCACTCTTGCTCATCATAACTATGTACTTAGTTAGTTTATTTGATACCTAGTAGCAGAGAATAAGATTTTAAAAGATTTAATGCATTTTCACTATATAATCAATACAGCCCCGCCCTAACACCATAACCCCTGACCCTGGGGCCATAAAATTCACAAATTTGGTAGAGGCACTCTTGCTCATTATAATTATGAACTTAAATAGTTTATTTAATACTCAGGAACAGAGAAGAAGATTTTCAAAGATTTAATGCATTTTCACTATATAATCAATAGAGCCCCGCCCTAACACCATAACCCCTGACCCTGGGGCCATAAAATTCACAATTTTGGTAGAGGCACTCTTGCTCATCATAACTATGAACTTAATTAGTTTATTTAATACCCAGGAGCCTAAATTAAATGTAAATTGAACATTTTAGCTCTAAAGAAATGGTCTATTTTATTACAATGTACATGTGTTTAACCCTATACATTTGGCGCTTTTTTGACATTTACCTGTGCCAATGTATAACGCTGCCTTTGTGACGTCATAATAACGACGTCATAACAACGAAGTTGTATTGTTTTTATTATCATTGTTACACTCTGAAGAGCCGTTACGGCGAAAGCGCTTAGTGTAAAAAATTAAACGTAAACTTGTTTGTTTATCTTGGATTTAATTTTGATTTATATATAAAAAGAAAACACAAAAATCCTCAGTTAAGCTTTAGCGCTTTCATTTTCAAT